TATACATGCAAGTTCAGAGCTGAAGCAAATGTATACATTTAAAGAACATTTAAGTGTTCCCATCTTTCTCCCTTCTCTCCTTCCCAAAAACAAGAATAGGGGTCAAATGAAAGTATTGAGTAGTTAAAAAACAAGCAAAAGGATGTATTTCCTTGCAGAAAACACAGCTAAGATCTGAGACTTCTTGCCACTGGGAATTATAGATGTCAGGTGTTTATACATGCTTAAAAAGGAGCTAAAAAAGTCAGTAACAAAAATACACATTGAGGCCTATTAAATAATATTGTATTATTATACCATTATAATAATATTTGTAGTAGAGTTGCAAAACACCAAACTGGATCACTGCAGACTTTATGCTCTTTCTAGACAGCTACCGTAAGACACTTTGAGACCCAGGCTGCTAGATTATAAAGGCACACAAACTTGTATATTCACTTTGTGTTGCTACATTTTCTTTAATCTTAATCCTCACTGACTCAAGGTGTCAATTCAAGCTAACCCTTCAGAAGATGTATCTTAAAGAGAAAAATCTAAAGAGATAAAACTGTACTTAACATACAAGAGATGAAATTGTAAGGCTTCATTTTAAGGATTAGCTTCAGAATAGTTGTAGTCTCACATGAAACCCTTACAGTAGGAAACAGTTTTGTATTCTCTGCCTAATGTGTCCCTTTTCTCTTCAACTATTTATCTGTAACATAAGGCATCTCCATGATGTTACTGAGGAGTTAGAAATAGAGTTTGGTATTCAATATTACAACCAAGTTAATCGTCATTACTTTTTCAAAGATAACATTTTCTTAAAAAGAGTACATGCATCAATCAGCATTAATTTTGGTCCTTTCGTGCAGTTCACATCTTGTTATAAAATACAAAGTTACATTTTAACTATATGGGTTCATAATGGGGAAAAATGAACTTCCATATGTCCCATATTGCTAATACTACTAGCGGTGAATACGTTACTTACTCAGCATTGATGGGTGCAGATAAAAGATCATCCACCAAGGCTTCACTGCAATCATCAAGTGTGAAAGTAGTCTCAAGTTTGTCTGTCATAGTAGGACTTAAGATTTTTCGAGTCTGAGGATCTCTTAGAGGAGTTTGAAAGGTTACCTTTAAGAAAGGGGCGGGGGGGGAAGGAAAAAGGAAGAACATGAACACTATTTTCGAGCTCCAAATAGCACATGCATTCATTAGCAGAGATCATAGAACGCAAACAAATATAATCAATACAAAAGCAAAAGTTTACCTTCATAGCTTTTCCCACGCTTTTTGGTGGCAAGTTTTCTTTCTGGGACAGGCGTAGAATGGAAGGTCTCCCTGTAGGTTCCGGTGGTGCAAAGAAAAAGCCACAGTCTTCCACTGCTAGATCATCATTGATGTTTCCTCCATTTTCTGCATTTAAAATCTGCAGACTCATTCTAGAACATCAACACATACAACATCACAGCATGAATGAGAGGGTGTGGTCAGCCAGATGCACTTCCAGATAATCTAAGAAGTTGGAAACCTGGCACTGGCTAGCAAAGATAAACAGCTTCAAAAGAAGTTTTAAAAGTATTGAAAATCTTCATATGAAAAGTTAGATCTCAGAAGACTCCAAAAGCATCTAAAAGCAGCACTGCACAGCACCTCTGCTTTTGTTTGGGGTCTAGGAAGTTAATTGTTGATATTATGCTTTCCACAGTTAACATAACCGTACTAATTAAGCTGCCCATCCTTTACAGGGAGCTCTGTCATTTGAAGTTTCTTCATTCCCAACCCCTTAAAGCCAGTAGTGACAGACAGTCACGTCTCTTGTAACAGGGTATCTAAGCTAAGCAAAATTACAGCTTTTGCAAGGGGCTGATGACAATCATTTCTCTATTTCATTCACATGGTCTCATTACTACACTGTACATCAGCAAACAACAAAACCAAATTTGGTTACTCAGGGTGTGTTTAGGATCAGAGTCCTGAATAAAATTATTTAGCTTTTTCCTGCACTGTCCGAGCACGTGCTGCTTTTGTAAGACACATAGTACTTAAGAATCCTTTGCAGCACAGACATTATTGGTATGCAAATCTGAAAAAATTGTAATTAAAAGGATATTTTTTTAAATATTGTTCTTACATTGGACACACGCAAGCTTTAGTAGACCACATAGGCTGATCTAACCTTATAGTATCTGCAGTGGATCACCATTCCAAGTGATCTCAAATGCTTGATTTGACAAAACAGCTACCTCTTAGCTTATTTCTCCATCATGCAGTCAAGATTAGTCCAGAAAAATCAACTGAGGAAGACTCCAAATGATTGTCTTCATCATCATAGAGAGGTAACAAGAACACTCCCACAGAATATTTTAAGTTATGCTTTCAATTTCATTGCCCTTATGTATTCAAATTTCTGTATTTAAGTCCCTGCACACATTTCATACTCTCCACTGAACTCAGCTGCTTTGTCTGCAAGCCCGACAACAGCACTTTTAATCAGCAATGGAATGCAAACAATGGCTACAGAAGCAATAGCAAGCAAAGCACGCCTGTATCAGCTATTTCTTCAGTCCTTTATTCATCATATTCATACTTTAGCCCAAGTAATTTTGTATATAAAGTATTTTTACATTAACAACTTGTAGAACTTGAAGTGAACGTCACTGCTTTCCTTCATTCCACAATAAAATTGGGACAACAGATCAAGTGGATCTTTACAGACTGTAGTCCTTTTCTGTAATTACTTTAGAAACAAAGCCTAGGACATGAAAAAGTTGGCAACACCTTCTAAAACAAGCTCCATAAGCAGGGGAGGTTTGTTTGGAGACTTCCTCAGGTTTGCCGTGGAGCTACTTGTGCACCGTTGCTAAATCAGATTCAGATCGTTAAAATACCCAATAAATTGACACCATATACATACACCACCTTTGCCCAGCACTTTAGATATCAAATCTAAAAAAAAAATATCAAACTCCTTTCTAGGATTAAATAATTTAAAATAATTCAACATTTATTAGAATATTTGCAACCAAGATTTGGTCTAAATTCTGTTTCACAAGTTCATTAACTAGTAGCTGTGATAAAGTGAAAGGGGAAGGAAGGCTTTATTAAAGACATCTTTTTCTTTAAAGTAGTCAGTGTCCAACCCATGAGAGCAAGTATTGTGAAAAGCAGCAACTTTTCCCGCTAAAGCCAATCAAAGCTCACAAAAATGAAACTGCTCCACATTTTAGAAGAACATTTATCCAGGTGCAACCAGCAGTCTGTCATTCTGTATTTGAGAATGAACATAAATTCAATGACATCAGATAATTAAACCTCAGGTACCTATCATTTGTAAGTTCAGGGCTTCATGGCAACTACCTGTTGTTTAATGATGACTGAGGCACAACATCCAAAACACCAATCTGATCTCAAATGCCTAAAAAAGCCACTGAACATGCAGGGCAAAGATGGGATTTTTCTATTTATTTTTTCTATCCATTTCTACTTATTTTTTCTATTTATTTTTCTGTTTCTAGTTCCTTCTGGACTCCTCCAGCAGCTAAGATGCAGAGCACTTGCTCACAGAATAACTTAGTATGTGCTGTGAATATTTCCATAGAAACTGACAGAGCTGACTGCTATGTGGTTTGTTTGGTTTTTTTTTTTTTTTTTTAGTTTAGTGTTTAGCAAACATCTCAGTTCAGAATAATCACTTTTCTGGTTAACTGACTCCTTCATAATCACGACCTTCCCCTGACTACAGAAGTCACCCGACTCTCAACCATTTGAGGAGGGGGAAAATTCGCAGCAGTTTGAGCCCGACCCAAGCTTGGGAGGCAGCAGATGGGGAGCCCCGGCCCAGCCGGCCTCGTTAAGCCCCGGAGCAGGCACTCGGGGCCGGGGAACAAAAGGTGGCCTGGGCCTGCAGCGGCCGGGTCAGGGCGGGAGCCGGAGATGGGGGGGCTCCGCCGGGCCGGGCCGGGGAGAGGGACAGCCAGGCCGGGGAAGGCTGCGCAGGCTCTCCGGGAAAGCACTGTCCCTGCCCATCACCGCACCTAGCCGTGCTTTCAGTAAAAAAAAAAAACCAAAAACAAAAACAAACAAAAAAACACCTCCCCCATCTCCCCAGTTCAGCGGGGTGCCCCCAACACTCCTGAGTCGCCCTGGGCCACAAGAGCCCCACATCACCCACCTCCAAAGGCAGCGGAGGGCCCTCGGCAGCCCCCGGCCACCTCAGCTGCCAGAGCCCCCTCAGCCCCAGACAGCCCCCAGCTCACAGAGGTGACCACGTATATACCCCCCCTCCACATGCTTAGAGGCGACCCCGACCCCCCCTCAGCCCCATATCACCCCCAA